CATGGCAAACTCAGTGTGTCCAAAACAATGAACTCATCTCACCCAAACCCTCGTTCCGTCGTCCCTCCTTCAGTGGTCTGTGAAGCTCGGAGTCAGCCGGACACGTGCCCTCTTAAACCATCTCTGACTCAGCTGTGCCTTGCTGTTTGTGAAAGCATCGCAGAGTCCTTTCACTTTTCCCATGTCCACGTCCCCTGCCCGCCACGTGGCCTCTGCTCCGTCTGTCCCCGCCCTTCCCACAGCCCCACTGCTGTAGCAGACGTTGACTCCCTTGTCCGTCGCTTCTGCGTCCCCACTGGTCTTCCCAGTGTCGTCCTTTTTTCTGCCCCCTTTTCCGACCTCACCTTCCATTCTGCTTGTCATGTTTCCGAAGGACAGTTCTGACCATGTCACTCCCCTGCGCAGAAACCATGGCTTCCCTCCACTCCAGCATGAGGGTTGCTGTCTTGAAGGAGGTGTTCCAGGTTGTCCAGAGTCTGGCACCAGCCACCTGCTCAGTCTTCTTTCCCCTTCTCAAGACTGTGTGCTTCAGCAGATCTCAATTTTCCTCTCACCAAATGTGTTCTGTATTTTCTTGCCTTCAAAACCTCCCTTATTCAATCCACTCTGTTTGAAATGGCCGCTTTTCCAGCTTCACGTGTTTCTCTGAAGCTCAGCTCAGACGCCGCCTCCTGCACCGCCTCCCGCACTCCCTGCGCTTGCTCGGCCTTGTCCTCTCTGCCCGTGGGGACCAAGGCTGTCAGGAGACACTGTACTCGCTCTGTCACTCTGTTCTTCTTTTTCAGTACTAGTTTCATTTTTACCGTGATACAGATTTGAGAAATTTACCTCCCAAAGCATAAAGTGTGAGCTAATTTATGGCGAGTACGTTACATACAACACCAAAGCTTAGCAGATAAGTACAGGGTTTAAAATGGAAGACGTGTGCAGCTGGCCCTTCTCCCCTAGACCTGTTTCATATGCTCGTTAGCTCAGTGAACGAAATACGTAGCTTTTTATGAAGTTTTTAATGGTATGTTTTAGCAAATGAGATTGACCTAATCTAAGCAACTATAATTAACACCCTCCCCCCCCCAGTTTTAAAAACTAGACTCTTTTTATAGAAGATGCCAACTTGCTCTGTTTCTTTTGGTGGCCTCTCTTCCCCCATATTTGAGCTAGATCTGTGTAGACCCCCGAGGCACTGGTAGAGGTGGGTGTGTGTGCTGCGGGAGTGGGTGGGGAAAGACTCGCAGGGTGGACTGTAGCTGGGAAGCAGCTCTCGCAGCAGATCTCTGCGTGGGAGATCCGAGCGTCACGCGTGAGCGTGTCTCTGCAGCGGCTGGTGGCCATGGGGGCTGCGCTACCAGGTTCATGGGAGCTCTTAGGCAGACTGAGTACAGCCTCCCTGGAGCAGAGGTGAGGAAGGAAACAGGGAGGTGTTTCCCTGCACACTGCCTCCGTTTGATTCCCACCTCCGCACCTCCACAGCTTAGAGTCTCTGTGGCCTTTGGCAAGATTTTTCTTCTCACCATGGTTCAGTTTTCTGATCTCTTAGATGGGGAGATTAATAGTCCTGCTCTTAGGTTTGCTGTGAGGACTAACAGATAACCCCTGGCCTGTGGTGAGTGATTAGTAAGCGTTAGCCACCGCCCCTGCAAAGTGCTGTGTGCCTGAGGCACACGTCTCCGTGGGATTCACGTTCAGATAGCAAGCCGTTCCCTGTTCGTGGCAAAAAGAGTGGTTTGATAATGCATCAAATTTTAGTTCTCTTAGCTTTGAATCTGTTTTAAGTAATTGAGTTCAAAAAGAAAAACCAAAACAAAACGTTTCCTGGTTCCACTTCATATCCAAGCCTTCCAGTGCCAGAAATAAATGTCTGCAGATTCCAAAGAGGGATCGCAAACCTCTTCCTTCCTTTTATTCTCAGAGTGAAAAACAAATTTATGGTGTTTCCTATCTTAAGAACATCCTCAATCATGTATATTTTCATATCAAAAAGGAAAAAATAGTATTTAAGTGTTCTGTTTATGTTTCAATAGGCTTTTCTCAGTGGGAGCTGAAATTCTTAAAGTTGGTTTCTCTCTGAGATGGCAGAGTAGGAACACACACACCTCAGAGTGATGTCGTGGGCTGTCCTGTCTCTTCCTCAGGCTTCCTGGTTGCTGGGTTACGCTGGTGTTTTCATCTCATCCTTTTTACAACACTGTTCATGTTAGATGGAGATAGTTGAGCTCTCTTAGGCAGTATAGAACTTAACACAATTTAATTAAATTTAAATTTTGTTTTAAAAACTTTTCTTTTACTGCATCTTTAATTTTTTCAAAAAGTCTGACTTGGGATTCAGATACAGGAGCCAGCTAGCCAGCTAAGTGCTGCCCCTGGCCGAAGGCTGGGCAGAAACCTGTTTGTATGGGCCTCTCATGTCACCTCCTCCCCAGCCAGCGCCCACCCTAGACACTCCCATGTCACGCAAGGGTGCTCAGGAAAGCAGTTTGGAAGTGACTGGTGCAAGCAGGCCCTGTGTTGGGGCGTAGTCCTGGTATCCAGGATTTTGTTTCGCTCTGGGACATCTGGCTTGTCTGGACCGTTGCTGAGAATCTCCTTCCCCACCTGATGCATGCTATTAAACTGCTCCTTCAGCTAGAGTTCATTCCAGCTGATGCAAGCTCCACGAACAGGCTGCAAACCCCAGGGTGACCCTGGGCTCCTCTCCACTTGCAATCATTCGCCAGTCATGCTGGTTTCTGCCTTCAGAATACATCCTGCGTTGCCATCCTGGGCCCACGCCTTCCGCCCTGTGTCTAGTGTGGTGCTTGGTTGCATGGGTCCTGGAAGCAGATTCCCTGTGCTTACCTGTCCTGTGACTTTGAGAACTCTAATAGCCTTTCTGGGCCTTCATTTCCTTAACAGTTAGATGAGAACAATGACGCTGTCCACCTCCCTGGGGGTGTCACAGAGTTACTGCACGTGCATTACTTGGCGTAGGCTCAGCATGTAGTAAACGCAGGAAACATGGGGTGGTGAGTGATGGGAGCTCTGTGCAGTTGTTTTTTGTCCAAAAAGAATTGCAACTGGTCTTCTTAAAACATGAGTCAGGTGCATTCTCCGCTGGCTCCCCGCCACTGTTGGAACAGTGGCCGTCCCTCCCCTGGCTGTGGCCCTGCAGTGCCTGGTGTGCTGGCTCTGCAGTGTCCGCCCCTTCCCTCATCGGGTCTTGCTCTCTGGAACACCGGGTGTCATTCTGTATTCCTTGCTCGACTTAGTTGTTTCATATCTTAGGAGAAGGTAACTTTTTGCTACCTAACATTACACTACCTATCTGTTTGTTGGCTGTTTGTCCCTCTGACCGATGTCACAGCGCGTGAGAGCAGGGGCTTTGTCTCTCCTGTTCATGGTTTTAGCCCCAGCACCTCTCATGTCCCCAGTGGGAGCTCGAGAGGTGTCTGTTAAATGATGGATGGCATGGGATGGGTGGGCAAGGACCATTTCCCCTTCTTTGCACGAGAGATGCCCAGGTTGCCAGAGAGTTGGAGAGGCCCAAATTCACTTTTTTGAGATGAGATCACTTTAGGGGAGAGTTTGGGTGTTTTTTTTTTTTTTTTGCCTCCTTTTCTATGAATAAGAATGTATCATGTAATTCACCATAATTATCTCAATTAACCACAGATTAACCGCATTGTTAAATTAGTGCCCTCTTACGGTTACTGTACAAGGTCTGCTGCATAAGCCTCTCCCTGGCAGTGAGTGACAAGGGGATGATGTGGGTTCATCTTTTATGGAGAATCTTAAACCCGTGCAGTGCTCCCTGTGATTACCAGCCTGCAGCCCAGAGACGGTGCTTGTGAGGTCTGCCTGCGCCAGGAACAGTAGAGACAGATGGAATGATGTCTGCCCAAAATTCTACTTCCGATAAAGAACGTGCAGGGTGTCTAGGAAAACGGTGTTTTTTAAGGATTCGGGTTTAGAATGTTTCCTGGTCTCTCAGGGATGGAACCACAGGGTCACTTTTTCTCTGGTCAGTTGAGTATGAACTTAGTTTTTTTAATCTTTCAATATGAATTTTAAAAGTTAGCTTTTGTTATTTACCTTGTATGTGATGGTTAATTAATTACCATTTGATAACTTTATACTGATTCATTGCCTTTAATTTAGGACTGATCCATTGATTTTAATAGAAGAAGAAACAAAGGTTTCGGGAATCACTGGTAGCCTCAGGCACTTCTTTGTTTTCTTCATATCTAATTCCTGAGAATTAAAAAAAAAAATTATCCTTCCCAATTTCAGTTGATTATCATGTATTACACTCCTAGAATATGTAGGTTATTTTTGCTTTTTATTTTGGGTCTCTCTTCCACCTTTATGCTCAACACTGAACAGTCTTCTGAACCGTATCTTGTTATAATGTGAGCCAAAAAATGATTTTCTTTCTTATTTAAAGAGGGACACATGCTAATTTGTTCAGTCTTTTTTTTTTTTTTTTTTTTTTTTTTTTAGTAAATCACTGACATTAAATGAGTTAATGTTTGGAGTTGACCTTCCAAATTATGCCTGTCCAAATTGGCACTATTCAGAAATAGTGTCGGATGGGGTGCTTGGGGACGGTTCAGCTGTCAGATGGTGACGGAGGTGTTCTGAGGTGGGCTCAGGGAGGAGAGAAATCCCCCATGGGGCAGGACAGAATTCACTTGAGCTTGGCTTTCAAGATGTAGAAAGATCGTGAAAGAGGGGCTTTGAAGCCCTCTGACCTCGGGGGTGAGCCCGGGCGTGTGGCTTGTGACCGCCCAGGGTTGGCAGCGGAGATACTGGCCCTTCCCAGCCCCGTGCGGCGGGACCCACGGCCTCCCCGTGTTCCTCATCGACGTCAGCAAAGAACAGCTTCACGTCTTATCTACAGTGTGGTTTCTATTAGAGAGAAGAATTAAGTGTAAGTCAGAATAGACAGAAGCCAGCGATCTCTATAAGCTGTTTTCTCTCTTTATTCATACACGGACTTAACTAAACCATTGTTGTTATTACAGGCCATGGTTGCTTGTTATCCAGGCAATGGAACGGGTTATGTGCGTCACGTGGATAATCCAAATGGCGATGGAAGATGTGTGACATGTATATATTATCTTAATAAAGACTGGGATGCCAAGGTATGCAGTCCGATTGAGCATTTTGTTTTCTCACAGGTATTTTTTTCTCCCAAATATTAAGATTCATATTCCTCACAGGTGAGAATGTCTTTAAACACATGGAATAGTTAAAATTTTCTCTCTTTTTTTTTTTTGTCTTTTTTTCGTGACCAGCAACGGGATCGCAACCCTTGGTGTTGCGCCCACACACCTTGCTCAGCCAGTGAGCAGCCGGTCTGTATGTGGGATCCGAACCCTCCGCGGGAGCGCTGCCGCACTCCCAAGCGGCGCACTGTAGCAGTGCGCCACCGGGCCGGCCCCTAAAATTTTCTCTCTTAAATTTGTCTCAGTCTCAGGTATTAGGAGAGGATTTTTGTAAAATGGAACAAATACTAAATACCTCGTGTGACATAGTTAACAATATGGTGTTGTGCACTTAAAAATTTAAGAGGGTAGATCTTATGTTCAGTGTTCTCTAACTGCAAAAAAAAAAAAAAGAGAGAGAAAAGAGAAAAGGTAAAGGGGCACAGGAATCTTTGGGAAGTGATGGATAAGTTTGCCTCGATCACTTAAAAATTTAAGAGGGTAGATCTTATGTTCAGTGTTCTCTAACTGCAAAAAAAAAAAAGAGAGAAAAGAGAAAAGGTAAAGGGGCACAGGAATCTTTGGGAAGTGATGGATAAGTTTGCCTCGATTGCAGTGATTGGTGGTATCAGAATGTGTTCAAACTCCCCAAATTGTATACATTAAGTATGTGTATTTTTTTGTACATCAATTATACCTCAATAAAGCTGTATAGAAAAGTACTAATATATCTTAAAAAGTGAATTCACTTATTTTCAGATATTAAAGCATTTACCTAAAATGTAACGAACTTTTACAAAAGTGACCATTATTCAAATATCTTCCTTTTATAAAGTTTACATAAAAAGCACTTCTGAGAATGATTGTTTTATAAGGGCTTTTGGGGAAAATTACCTACAAGTAATTGTTATGGATTATTTGCTATTTTATTCTTTGCATTTTTGTAGAGATGTTATATGGCATTGGGTTGTTGAATTAAATATCGGAGGCAGGATTCTGTCTTCCCCTGATTATGGAAAAATTAGAAGCTTATTAATACTGACAAACCCTGTAAAACCAATTAGAATATACAATATATTTAATCTCTTTTATTTCAAATACGTATTCCCTTAATATTATTAACCTAAGTTTTATTAAATTTATTTTTTAAAGTATGTCACGTATTATTGCCTTGGAGGTTGTATAGACTGATTTTTTTTGGTTGTTTTTTAAAAATCTTCAAATCTTTTAAAACGTTCAAATAGAAAAGTGAACACAGTTTACAGCTCGTTGGATTTTTGTAAGGTGAACACACCTGTGTAGCCACGGTGGTTTATTTAAAAATCAAATAACCTTTAAAACACCTTTCTCTCCTCCTCACCCCAGACACACAAATGGAAACCACCGAAGTTTTAAATGTGCAAAAACCTAATCCCACCCTAAAAAAGTGTTTTAAATTTAGAATATGCTCAGAGCGCTCCAGTATTCTTTCTATAGTATACTGATTGAAAGTTTCCTCTTCCTAGTCCAAGTTCAAAATGGAGGTAAGTTTACTGCTAAGTGGATATCCTAACGTCTGGACTCTATTAAGCTCTTTCTAGGTTGATCTGTTAATTTTTATAGGACCTGGTCAAGGTCATTAATATATAGCTTTTAAATAAGTACATAGACAGAAAAAAGTCCCTAGTTTTTTATATGTAGAACAGAAAACTTGCATTGCAAGAATGCACTGAATAGATGCAGTGTGCCAGACACTGTTCATGAGGCCGGGCAAAAGTGGAAATATTCCTTGCAGAGCCACGTGTCTGCGGGAGGGCATGTGTTGGTCCAGTGACAATTATAACGGTTGTGCCTAGTGTCAGGGCAGATTGGCATGGGAACGCATCAGAGGTCAGGGGAGGTTTCCCAGAGGAAGAACACAAGTGTCAACTGGCCATTTCTCTTTGAACAGGTCACCTGTGATATTCCCAGTGACTCCAGTCAAAGGGAAGGGGGTGGGAAAAACGAGGACATGTCACCATGTGGACAGTCACTGTGTGGAGGGTCTTTAGACATTTGCACGGGTGCTTGGGGAATCACGCTGAGCAACATGGAACCTGAGAAGGGCAGGTGAAGGTACCAGGTAGCTAGAAGTTAAGGTACCTGAGGATGAGCCTGGTAAACATTTACTCTAACTACAGGTTCTAGGTGTAGGCGCAAACTCCGTGTTGTCCTGATCAGGTATTAAAGTTCTTTTCAGTTTTAAGGGTCTGTCTGCTTTGGAGTTTAGTTTTTCAAGGGTAAAGAGCTCCTTGAGTGGGTGGGTTTTGCTTAGCTCTAGTCTCCCCAGGACTGTACGCCCTGTGAGGGCCAGAGCTGTCTGCATTGTCTCTGGGCTGCACCTATGCCCACTGCAGCTGCAGGTGCAGCAGTGGCTCAGCCAGCACTGGGAAGAGCAGGTGAGTCACTCAGTCCCAACAGAGAGTAATAATCGTAGGGAAATAATAAGAATCTGTTGTGGGTGGAATCAAGTTTTGTAACCAGTCTGGAAAGGGACAGCCACAGGTTCTAGTAATGACCACAGTGCTGATGGCGGTCACAATGATGGTGATGAAAAATGGCGACACTTCCTGCCGATGTAGTGAATTCTTCAAACGAGAGGCATTAACTCATGACTGCCCATGTAAGTGTCTGTTGAACTTTAAAATATATTTTAAGAGTAGGTTAAGCAGACCATTAGCATACATAAATAAGACTTGCTTATTACTACTTTTCAGAACTTTCAGACATCGTTTTAGGACTTAAGAATCTGGACAATATTTATCTGTTTTTATCAAATATTTACAAAAATCCCTGAAACAGGAAATGAATTTTTTCTTGCATCAGTGCATGCACTCAGAATCTCAGCTCTCGTGCGCGCCCTGTTAATAGGAGGTGCGTTTGTGAGTAATCCAGCTAAGAATTTTGATTCACTGAAATAGGCTTCTTCCCCCCTAAGTTCAATCTTGTCACATTCTTGGGCCCTCAGACTTACATATTCGACTCTCTTCCTAGGTAAGTGGAGGTATACTTCGAATTTTTCCAGAAGGCAAAGCCCAGTTTGCTGACATTGAACCCAAATTTGATAGACTGCTGTTTTTCTGGTCTGACCGTCGCAACCCTCATGAAGTGCAACCAGCATACGCTACAAGGTAGTGTCCCTTTGAGAACAACGTGGTTGAGGGATTGGCAGGGCAGAGGGTCCCGGGGTGGACCTGAGAGCTTTCTGTTGAGTGTGTTTCTGCTTCTCAGCACTCTGTCTCGCGTCTCGCCGTCGCTGTGGTCTGAGTGGCTGTGCGCTGTGTGTGCTGGAGGCCTGGTCCTTTCGCATGGCCCCTCCCACTTGGGGAGGGACAGGAGGCCTGGGCCGTCTTTCTTGTCCTGCTTCCTGCTCTGTGTGTCCCTTCCTACCATCCCTTGTCATTCTATGAGAGAGTTTCACTTGGGGGACAGAGACGGAGACGGGCAGCTTTGTAAAAGGTGGCGAGAGAGAAAACAGGGACAGCGTGTGAAAGTGCACAGAGTAGAAGCAAAGGTAAGCGGGGCGTGGGCGGAAGGGAGGCAGGGCTCGTGCGGGGAGCAGCGTCTCTTTCATTGCACGAGCGCTCTCTTTTCTGCAAGGTTTCGTGTTCTAAACCTATTATTTTTGATGCCTTCTTTTAAGTGTTTTTTTTTTTAGCCATTTATTACGAGTTACCTAAAATAGTAGGACTGTTAGACGACGTGGCAGGCATTTGTTAGGAAAGGAAGTATCTGTAGGAAAACGGCGCTGTTCTGCAGGTACCCGTTTTCCACTATAGAAAGGACTTGGACATTCTGATAGCGAGTTGCTGGCATCCAGCTGCTGTGTCTGCTCAGGACATGCAGGGAGATCTCTGGGGAGAGACACGGGCGGGGACTGGGCTGTGGTGACGATGGGAGGGGGCACGCTAGCCGCGGACAGGGCTCTGCAGATGTGAGAGTCAGCTCTGCCCTTGTCCTTCTGTCCGAGGCGTGCTGCGTCACCCCAGGTCACATAGCATGCAGCACGCTGAGCAGGCTGTGGCCAGAGACCACAGGGAGCCCCGCATGGAAACCTGGGGGGACACGTCACCTCACACGATGTTCCTGCCTCAGTCCTGTCTCCTCTTGGCCCCCGTGGGCTCCTTACATGTTTTCTGACCCAGAAACTGCTCCAGAAAGGCTTCCTTTGTATGAAATCTTGAGTTTGGTGTGGTCGTGTCCTCTCCAGATGAAGCAGTGACAAACATTTTGGGGTAGTAGATAAATGCCAAATGGTGTGCAGGACACATGCTGCAGAGTTCAGAGGAAAGAGGGGGTGGGCTGCAGGGGGTCCTTTGTGGAACTGGGGGCACCAGAGGGGACAGGGCAGGATTGTTGAAGTTGTGGTGCAGAGCTGCGAGGGAGGAAAGGGATCCTGACACAGATCCATGGGCAAGAAGGCTGGAGGCTCAGCACGACATTCGGGGGTTCCCAGCTGTCTTCTGATGAGGACACCGGGCTGGAGAGGGGCGCCGGGCTGTAGTAGAACCTGGATTACTAAGGAGCTAACCCTTTTGGGGCGTGGGCAGAGTAGACATAATATTGTATATCTGAGCCCCTTGCCCGTTACCAGGGCCACCCGAAAAAATAGCAGAGGCTACATGGTGGGAAAGGTGGTGGAGCTCTGGAAAGAGCAGGCTTGGAGGTCAGGAGGCCAGAGGGCAGAGGTCAGGAGCTTGTCACTTACCGTGTTCCTCTGTCTCCCTGGTTGCGCACACTCCCGCTCTGATCCTGCATTTGCCTTCTTATTCCAAACTATGTTGCATGGCCCAGTTCTGTCACACTTCCCGGCTCTTCATGTGATCAGTGTCACTTCCCCCGGCCTGTGACCACTGCCGCTGGCCAGAGTCAGGAAGATAGTTTAGCTGGTGGCGATATTCTGCTGAGGAGCGATGGTTTGTGGTGTGCCTGCGCTTCTTACAAGCTTCTTACAGTGTCCATGCGTGTCCCCATCGGTCATGTCAGGAGCTGTGACTGTGGGCTTCATAGTATTGCATAAGCCAGAGCTGCCTCACTTATTTGTGGAATGAAGTTTTTAGAAAAGTGAAGTTTAGCTGAACTTTAAAGTTCAAAACACAGCATAAATTGTTTAGTTAAAAATTCTAAAAAATCATTTGCACAATTTAACTCTTTCTTGATGACTCGAGGTTATAATGTTTTTAGAAAAGTGAAGTTTAGCTGAACTTTAAAGTTCAAAACACAGCATAAATTGTTTAGGTAAAAATTCTAAAAAATCATTTGCACAATTTAACTCTTTCTTGATGACTCGAGGTTATAACTGTAAATGCCCGTCTTTATTCTTTGCTGTAATATAGTGATGAAGCTGCTAAGACCCTTAGCCTTCCTGTCACTAAAGGTCCCCTGTCATCTTTTAGTTCTCATGCTGTTGACGATGTGCTTTTCTAGAATAGTCATTCTTTTTTATTGTCTGTTTCTGATCTGCGGTGGGTTTGCAGAAGAGAGAGGTAGGTCAAGTAGGTGTCAGGAAAGTCCTAAAAAGTCACTGTCAGCTTTGGGACATCAATGTTAGCCTGTCCCGGGTCTGCTGTACTCTTGAGCGTTGAGGTTACTGGACAAGCGAGTTGTCACTGCTCGTTCACCCTTTGGTAGCATTCCAGTGTGGGTGTGACGTTGGCATTGCAGGTTTCGGTACCCGCTGCAGCAGCGTACACGCACCCCCCGTGCCATCATTCTCACCCTGTTCTAAATTTTCTTTTAGGTACGCAATAACTGTTTGGTATTTTGATGCAGATGAGAGAGCACGGGCTAAAGTAAAATACCTAACAGGTAAACTTGCTTGGGGCCGCGGTACACGGGACAAAGACACCTGCAGTCGGGTGGTACTTCAGCACCAGGAGCACTGCCCTTTGTTTTTGCAGAGTCCTTATCTCTCAAGTCATCTTCATTGTTATCTGTAACTGACACAATTGTCCAAAGATCAGCAAAGTTTGAGGGAGAGAAGTCTGCATAAATTATTCGAATACAAGGGAGTTTTTCCGTGATTATCCTTTTCAGTCCCGGGCTACTTGACTTAGTAACTGGGGCCTTCTGGCTTCTGCTCACTCTCCTTTAGAAGGGAGTTAATGTCCTTCCCTTTGGAAATGTACATGCTGTGAAGAATCCCCCAGGTCTCCCATGTTGAAGGTGGACATGAAAACAATTAATACAAAGGAGATGGATGAAATGCTACAGTCAGTGAATGAGACAGGCGTGCAGATCCCGCACGCGCCAAGGGTGGCCACGGCCACACGTGGGCACCGAGCCTGTGCCAGCCTCACCCTGCTCTCCCGAGCAGGGCCTTGGCGTCCCAGCTGAGGGACCACCGACCTGTCTTTTCTTTAGCGCCCTCCCTTATGTCTCCAAAAGCCCACGCAACGCTCACGTTCCTGGACAGCTGTGTTTCCATGAGCCATTGATAATCCCTCTCCAACCTTTTATAGAAATATAACAGTTGAGTGTTCATGCATTTTTTTCACATATTTTTAAAGCCACGATTTGTGGCAGAAGCCCCGTAGTGTGCTTTCAGTGACACTGAATGCTGTCCTGTTTTAAAGTGATACTGATTGCTTTTAAAATAAAGAGGAGACAAAGCTATTAACTCTGTGTAGAGAATGGTTTTCCCTTTCCGTTCATCGTGGCAGAATGCTCAGGGGAGCCTGGGGAAGTCCGGGTGAGATGGTTTTCAGATGGTGTTTGCGGAGTTGAAATATTGTCCACACTGGTAGGAATTCAGTGCGGGAGCAGTAGCAGAAGCTTTGGTACTTAATGAATTAATGAAAGTTTCTTTTCTTTCTTTCTTTTTTTTTTAACCTTGCAGGTGAAAAAGGAGTGAGGGTTGAACTCAACAAACCTTCTGACTCGATCAGTAAAGACGTCTTGTAGAGCCTCCGATCCAGCAATACCCCACTCACCCACAATAATTGTTGGCACTGTTTGTTAACTTGTGAATACAAATAAGTGGGATAATTAATGGGAAAGAAAAATAGACAACCAGTTGGCATTTTAATAAGGAACCAGAAACAACTTTTCTGTGTTGCACCAAGCGGAAGATCCTGACTGTGCTGCACGGTCGACCCCCCATCTGTGATCGCCCACGGGAGGAAGATACGCTGTCCATGGAAAGTGGTTTTCACATCTGGACATGAAATAAGTGCCCTACGTAGAATTTTGTCCGTCTCATGTTTTGCCAGATCTGTCATCTAGCTGAGTTCATTTTATCTCTCCTTTTTTTTATATCAAGTTTGAGATTTGGTAATTTTTATATGATTAGGTACAATTTATCAAAACTGAATTGAGAAAAAAATTACAGTATTATTCCTCAAAGTAACATCAATCTATTTTTGTAAACCTCTTCATACTATTAAATTTTGCCCTCAAAGACTTCTTATAATGATTGTTGCCAGCGACTGATGATTAATTTTCTTTTTACTCAAAGTAAGAAACGGAGCACTTTAATTGCCAACTGAAAAATCAGATTATTTTGTAGTCCTGTCTCACACTAATTTGAACTCGTAAAGATTGCTGCTGTAGTTTTTTTGACATTGTAATAGTGAGACCTAACAGTAAAAGTCACCATTGACTACCAATAACTTTTAGTTCATGTTCTGCAAGATAAAAATACACTGTAAGAAGGGTTTATCTTTTAGGTTAAATTTTTTTAAAAATTAAAGTGACTGGCACTAAATGAACTTGAGATTATCCTCTGGCTCAAGTTCCTAAGATAAAGGGCTTTCTTACACTTTCAGGTGCATCCTTTAGAGGTAGATGACATCCCATTTCTAAGACTTTTCCTTCTGCTTCTCAAACTGATTGTCCTTCCAGATTTGCTTTTGTGCTTTCCTTCTAATACTGTGGTCCTCCTGATCTGCCGACCGGACCTGGCTTCTGTTGACAAGTATCAGTGGAGGTTCCGTGTCCATTGAGACCGAAATGTGGTGTCACAGAGTGAACGTTGTGACCCTCAGACATCTTCTGAAGCATTCCCCAAACGCCATGCTGGCCGCCTCATCAGCACTGAAAAATGTCTGTTTAGCTTAGAAAAACAAACCCCCAAAAAAGTGAAAATTTTATTTTTATGTTTCATGGGTTTTCTTTTAGAAAAAGAGGGAATATTACAAAATCGCACACGGCCTCCCAGACTTCTGTTTAGAGAATGAACTGGGACGGACATCTTAGACTTCACCGTCCTAGCTCTTCAGCAAAACCCAAAGGGCGGTGTCTGTATTTTCCGTGAATCATGGGTGTAAGGACCTTGCCCACTTAGGTTTCCTATCTCTGTCCTTGATCTTTGCCAAAATGTGATTATACGGAAATATTTCTGTATATTTCAACTTACGACAGTTCTACCATCTGTATAGTTTGTGTTCAATTAGACCTTTTCTATGGAAAGCTCAGTAATTTTTATTAAAAGATTGCTATTCATGTAAAACATGAAAAAAAATTGTTTAGTGAAACTGACAGTGCAGACTTAGGTGGGGATTAAATATCTGGTGGTGTGATCTCACCTAGGAGAACTTGCAGGAGAAAGCGATGGTTGCTTGTTTTCCTTGCCCGTGTTATTTTGTTCCACCGACTGTCCCTCGATCCAGATGATAACATGACATCCCTACAGTTAAGTGCCTCTGCCAGCCGGGCCGGTAGTGCAGGCTGTTGCTGCCGTCTGGTCTACCGTGCGGTGCACTGCGTGAGACCACAGCTCAAAAGCACCATCATTTTTAGGGTTCATAGAAACTGTTTTACGTTGATGGGAGGTTTGTTTGATTATCCAGATAGACAGCAACAGCCTTTTAATTTGGGAGCCCCTGTTGTCACTCAAACGTGTACCTCTGCAGTCGTACAAAGTGTCAGATTCTACTGTCTGTGGGTTGTGCTTGCCAGAGAGGTCATAAATTGTATATTTTTTGGAAAAGTTTATATACTTTCTTGGAGACCATTGTGAAAAGATCAAGAAATCAGGATAAGCATTTCCTTCATATCCATTTAAAATCGACTCATTTCATGTTAGTGGGACCGTTAACTTGTCACCAAGCAGGACTCTTTTTAAAACAAAATTTAAAACTATTTGTGGCCTATATGTGTTTAATCCTGGTTAAAGATAAAGCTTCATAATGCTGTTTTTATTCAACACATTAACCAGCTGTAAAACACAGACCTTTATCAATAGCAGGCAAGGAATTTCAGGATTCATATACAGATAGAGTATAAAGTCATGTTATTTGAAAAGCATTGTTTCGTTATGAAAGAGCTCTCGAGTTGCTTGTAAAGCTAATCTAATTAAAAAGATGTATAAATGTTCTTGAAAAATGATGGTTATTTCCAGCTGTCTTTTTTTTTTTTTTAATCCATTGGCTTTCTAAATGGGCGCTTTCATCAGGTGAGGTGCTTCTCTGTCACACATCTCTGGCTTAGTTAGTCCAGGACATTTGGTGTTGCTCTTTGTAGATGATAATGGGGGAGAGAAAGAACAGCAAACAGAGTCCAACAACCTTAGAAGCATCCTGGGGGTAATAGGACTGTCCGTGGGGTCCACGAGCTCCATTTGGAGTCTCAGTGTTCGAATTCTTGCCATTTTGATAGGATTTTAAAAATCGTCTTAACGCTCATAGCCGATCTCAGCAGCAAAAGGAAGGGTGTTAGGCATTTATCTCTGATCGTCCTGGGTGTCCCGCTGTGCATGTACAAGAAAGCTTAATTTGTGTGATCATACACTGAAATACAACAGCTCTTGTAACATGAGATCAATCTACGTTCATGTATCTCTTATTTAAAATTATTTTAATGTGGCAATTTTGTTATTTTCCAGCCTATCTCAGGGCATTTGGAGAATTGCACTGAAATGGGAACATACCCAGGTGGACTGAACGAGAGGGCCCAGGAGTTAGAGGTGAAGACTAGTTAAATTAGGTGGTGTAATGAAAAGCACAGACAGAACTGACCAGTCTCTGTTTAGTCCTTACTCAGCCACTTAATTGTGTCACAATATCTCCAAACTTACGGAGTTGTATGAAACCTAAGTGGAATGCAGTATGCCCAGCACCTAATGGAGCCTGAGCTAAGCAGGCCTTGGACAGGTGCCATTCTTTGTCCCTTCACAGTGTGACAAATAGTTGCAGAGAGAGAAAATTGGGTTAATGAACTTTGAAGAGCTGACAATTTTTGCCACCTGTAAATGTTAATCCTTTGGAAGAAAGAGTGTGTGAGTTGTTTTGCTTATCAACGACAGGTTTTCGTAGCTTGGATTTAAATTAAATCACAGGTGCAAGGCACTTTGTCAGATTATTTCCCCAGGTGCACGTGGTCCAGGAAAGCTGTATTTTGGGTGTAGACTGCAATGGTATCTATTTATATCCTGTGTCTGACAGCATAATTGTACGTTGGATATATTTTTTTCAATTAGTTTATAACCATTTGGAAGTAAACATCCAGTATCCATTGCTTCAAGGATAATTTTTTGGATTTCTAAGGTCCTGAACACGTACCCCAGATTTTGTTTTTGGTGTTAATGCAGATTCTTCACGATCACTAGTGAACACGGCCTGTGGGAGGTCTAAAGCGTATGGCCTGCACTGGAAAGTTTCCTAGGTAGAGCACACTTACTTACTTACACACGAGCCGCTTCCCAACCCAGGGACAGCCATCGGCTGCAGGGAGCTGACGCTCCTTTTATTGAATGGATAATTTTTGCTGTGCACAAGATGTCATGGGGTCAGAGAGTCATTGGATAAGGTCTTTCCTTCACTGACATTAGGACTTTTCTGCCAAAATAACTATATTCCTGTAGTGTTTTGCAAAATGCATTTACATTTTTGTTTGTCAGAACATACAAAGCAGACAGTAAATTCTACCTGCATTTGTGTTAAAGGATCAGGGAAGTGGCTTGCTTACAGCCACGTGGCTGGTCATGGCAGAGCTGCTGGGACTGAATGTGGGTTTTCCTTTCCTTGTCTAATTTTAAGCAGCTAAATCACCTTGTTCTAGGAGGGTTGTTAAGAAAAATAGTCCCTTGTGTTCTTCCCTGAGAAAACAAGCTTCAGCTCTGATTTTAAGTAATTTGGGGTATTTGCCCCGTTGGTGCGAAATGATGTAATTCATCGCTGCATCGTGATTTTTCGGTATGAAGCGTGATCCACCGACTTCCCCACGCGCACAGTGGGGAGGCAGGTCTGTCCAGCACCATCCGTGCCACGTGGACACAGGCACGCTTCCACCCCGCGTCCTCCTCATGCCACCTTGCTCTGCGATCAGGTTCATCGCTGGTGTTTCTGGTGTGACCAGGCCAGTGGAAGCCGGGACACGCAGTCGTCCACGATGACTTTCCCCCACAACTTACTTTTCCCCTCACGACTTGCTTTTTCTCTTCTTCCCTGTGGCTTCTGACTTGAACCCGTCTGCATGGGGTGCCTCTCTGCCTGCTGCCCAGCTGTCGTCGTGGGACCTCCCTTCACCTTTATTCTGACATTCCCTCCCCACCCTCGGTGCTGGGTCTCCTGTGTCCCAGATCCCACGGCTGCGTCTGTCCTGGTGTGCCGCCTCCTGCTTCTGGTGGCGCACGCCCTGCAGGGCTTCCTGCAGAAGGTCGTGGGCGGTAAATTCTCTGGGACCCGTCTTTGTTTTGCCATCACACTTGATCGGTAACTTGGCTGAGCGTAGGATGCTGGTTCAGGTTCAAGGGCGCGGGTGCTGAGAAACTGAAGCCATTCTCACGGCTCATCCTTTCTGTGTCATCTCTAATCTGCTTTTTCTCTGTGGAAGCTCGTGGAATATTCTCATCCCCAGGCCTTCAGCTTTACAGTGTGCTTTAGTGTGGGCCCGTCCTGGGCTGCTGTGCTGGGCACACACATGCAAACCGTGAAGTCATGCCCTCTCACTTTGGGACATTTTCTCTGGTTATTTCACTAATTATGTCCCCTCTGCACACTCTGTCCTCTCTGGAGGGTGCTGCTTCTGTGCAGACAGTGCATCTGCTGGTTTGAACCTGTCGTTTTCTTTTCTAGCTGATGTGTTTGTGTCTTTACTTGGGGGACACCCTTTCCCAGTTCTTCCAGTGAGTGTTTCATGTCTGCTCTCAGCTTCTTCATTTTCAAGAGCTTTTTTTTGTTCTCTAATTTTTAAAAAATATAGGGCCGGCCCGTGGCTCACTTGGGAGAGCGTGGTCCTGACAACACCAACTTCAAGGGTTAAGATCCCCTTACCTGGTCATCTTTTAAAAATAAATAAATAGTATATAACAGTCTGTTCTCTTTAGTGGATGCAGTATTGAACCTTATTTCTCTTTCGTGTTGGATGTTTTCCTCAAACATCTGGCACTTTTTGCCTGTGTGTTTGTAATTAAGAGGGAGGCACTTGGGTTTCTGGTTTTCCAGGGACTGTGGGCTGCTGCCTGAATCAGTGTCATCATCTTCCAAAATCCAAAGAGACAGAGCAGTCACCCGCCCCCCGTGCCTGCAGCGTAACTGAGACACAGGAAAGACCTCAGCTCGTGTAGGCAGAGAAATAAGCACCTGAAATTGCTTAAGGGGCTAGAGCCAGTGTCTGAACCCACAGGAGGGCAGAGCGTCAGGTGGGAGCCACGTGGCAAAGGCCATGGGGTCCTGGCAGTGGCCGTCCTCAGGATAGAGAATCAGGGACCCCCGTGAGCGATGGAAATGGTGATAAATCCAACGTTGACACGTCAGAGCACTGGCCGTGGGCCCCACGGGAGGGAGAATCGTGAGTGTTCACGAGATAGAAGGTGGCCAGTGGCCGTTTACGGAGAAGGTTCCATTTCTGGGCGAGGGACAGATGTCTCTCAGTCTTGACGGTAAGTGAAAGAC